CCGTTAGTTTGTCAGTTAAACATAATCATGTCTGTGTACCTTAAAAGCCTGGATCAGATAGATCAGTGGTGCTTACATGACATTGGTTTTCTCATATCCTTTCAGCGCAGTCATATCATCCACAAGCTCGCAGATCTGTTATCAGAGCGAAGGACAGAGATTCTCGATGCAAATACCCTGGATCTAGAAGCAGCTCGCACACAGGGGGATTTATCATCACCCATGATGGCCCGCTTGTTATTAACACCCGCCAAACTGGAGTCTCTYGCCACAGGCCTCAGACAGATTGCCGATAACTCACACGAGAACATTGGGAGAGTCATAAGAAGAACCAAAGTCGCTGAAGGTCTGGAACTCAGACAAGAGACTGTCCCTATTGGTGTGTTGTTAGTCATATTTGAGTCACGACCTGACGCTTTACCTCAGGTAAGTGACACAAGATGCGCATTCTGTTACCATGGATACTCCACAAGATGAGCAGCGGATGTCAACTGCTACCTTAATTAGTAAAAAAAATCGTTTAAACGACCAATGGTAAAAAGAAAATGGGAACCACTAGACAAGCCACTCAAAAAAACCGTTGACATTAGTAATAATTAATAAGATATTTCAGGTAATACTATTTTATTGTTTTATATTATTTTGAGTTATAGTAACTTATTTTCCTTACAGGTGGCCGCATTAGCCATCAGCTCTGCCAATGGTCTACTCCTCAAAGGAGGTAAAGAGGCTTACCATAGCAACAAGTGTCTTCATRCTCTCGTACAAGAAGCACTGTCCCTGTATGTACCGCAAGAAACCATTAGTCTGGTAAGTTCAGGAACTCCTCAACTATAACCCCCACCCCAACCCTCCTTTCCCCGAATGATCAAGTTCTAGTTCCAGTTTGAGTTTCCAGCCAGAAACGTTGCGGTCGGAATCGTTTCTAGCCCTCATTTTTTTACGTGCTCGCGTGACCTCTACAACTTCCAGACGTCAGGGTTCTTGTCTTCCGTCAATCAAAATATTTCTTACTCACACTGTTGTAAATTTGATGAATGGAAGCCAAGACACGGGATAACGTGCCGTGCCTAGAGCTTTCTGTGWCGCGGGAAAATGAWAAGCGCTCATAACATCTTCATTTGATTTACACAGATAAGCACACGTGACCAAGTGGGCGATCTTCTCAAACTCGAAAACCAAATTGATCTGGTCATTCCTCGTGGATCATCAGAGATGATTCGTAGAATCCAGCAGGAAAGCAAAGGGATACCAGTACTCGGTCACTCTGATGGTATCTGTCACGTGTATCTTGACAAGGATGCAGACATTGAATCTGCTATAAATATAGGTATGTATTGATGTTCCTTTGCCTTGATAAAGTACAGTGTTTTCCCTTTCAGGCGTTTGTCATTACCTTGAGAATTATTTCTTTATTTAGTGCAACTTAACACAAGCGAAAAACTGTTTTATAATGGAAAATTACATCCCAAATTAAAAAGTCTGGGAAAAAATTCATCAGATTACACTCTTGAGGGTATCGTTTCCCCGTGACTGTCATATACCGTGTATTAACGATGTCTTGCGTGACGTTTTTAGTGGTGGATTCCAAGTGTGACTACCCAGCAGCCTGTAACGCAATGGAGACGCTTTTGGTCCATCGTTCTCTTTTGAAGTCTTCTGCTTTAGATAAAATCATTAATGCCCTAAGGGATAGAGGGGTAAGTATCTTTGGTATCGATTCTTTAGGGGCAGGGGGTGAGGGGAGAGTGTACATCACTACACATCCGAGGCAGATCTATCTGCATTAAAGGGTTGATTCTACTGGTGTAGGCTTACGAAATGCAAATGTAATTATTTTTTAAAGCCAAACATTAAGTTTAACATTTCTTGCTCCCTTTTTGTCCAGGTCAAAATCAACGCAGGCCCAAATCTAGTAAAAGCACTTCCGCTAGGCCCAGTCGCAGCCAAATCAATGCGCATGGAGTACAGTGCTCTAGAGTGTGGTGTTGAGGTCGTTGATGACGTCGAAGATGCCATACATCATATTCACACTTTTGGAAGCTCTCACACAGMAAGTATTGTCACTGACAATGGTACGTGTTTTTGTATTTGGAACATTTTATAAATCAATGTGACTGATTTCTTAAGCTTATAACTCTGATAATGTAGGAAGAAGCTCAGTATGACTYACTGTTATCTTTCATCCTACAGAGGAAACAGCAAACCGGTTTTTGAATGCTATTGACAGCGCATGCGTGTTTCATAACGCAAGTACACGTTTTGCCGACGGCTATCGCTTTGGTCTTGGTGAGTTTCAAAATGATAAATTCATGAAAATTTATTAATTTAATGAGATGTGTTTGTGCAATCTAACATGGCTTATCCAATCAAAATGCTGGGATAAACACCGTCATGGCGACACGTCATATTGGTATCGTTAAATTTTTCGCAGCCAAAAAATATTCTTACTTGTCATCTGATCACCATCATTGAGTTMCCATAAGCTTCAATCTTATTTTGGGGGTTCAACTACATGACTCAAAATCGCTCGAGATATAAACAACAATGAGACAGGCGCCATGTTGGTTGATCTAACAAGAGAAGCTAATGAGAAATGCTTTGTTATCGTCAACCAACATGGCGGCTATTAAGTAACATGCACCCCAATTGTTCTGTCTTTTTTGAAAGGCGCCGAAGTTGGCATTAGCACATCACGCATCCACGCCCGCGGTCCCGTGGGTGTTGAGGGACTTCTAACGACGAAATGGATCCTAAGAGGAACTGGACATACAGTCAGTGACTTCGCTGAAGGAGGACACTGTGCGTAYAYACACGAGACTCTACCATTGAAAGACGAACCAGTGCAAGAACATGATGATGACCAAGCGAACAGCAGTGACTCGGAATCAGATGTTGAAGAGCTTACCAAATAATATATTGATGTAAAGAAATTATTACTGACAAAGAAGGCGGTTTTCTATATGTTAGACTGAAATAAGACACGTAAAACATAGATAACGCTTTAGTACGTGTACGAATTTGCCATGTTCGGATGTCCCACTTATGCGAAAACCGCTCTTTTGTTGGCCCACAAGCTCTGGACATGACATGCCATTTTCTCTCTAAAATGTTAGGGAAGTCATTTAACGAGGTCTTTACACATCGTATCGTGCTGCAGAATGGTTAATAGGTCTTTGCTGCATCATTAGAGAATAAATGACCACTTATGATTTATATCTTTTGGGTCGAATTWAGTAGAAAATTGATAAATTTGTAATTCTTAAGGAAGCGACCGTTTCTTGAAGAATTTAGTCGTAGAGCTATCATTACTATAGTAAAATAAATCAGATGGGCATACAAAACGAATATAAAAACACCGTTGTTGCAGGATTTATTTTTATAATTCTAAAGAGAAATCAAAGGCATCTTCAAAACCTGGCTCAAAATCTTCGCTCCAATTAAAGTAAAATGTAAAGGTACGAGAAATAACAGAAGTAAAACTTGAGTAAAGGACTTTGAAATGCTCAATAAACAAGCAAGGTCGAAATACCGTCAAAACCGTTTAAAAATCATTAATGACTCTTAACACTCACCTCTAATCTCCAATGAACGTMCTGTCCAATCTGCGTCCAAGCAATGAATGACAAATACGCGCTTCTGGCCGCTTTTTTATAGAACATTTTCTGAGCCTGCGATTTTGTTGCCTACCATTTTGACATGCGCAAGAGATTTTCACACCTTTGCTTCAGACCGGCCATTTTGATTGGGGGATCTCTCTGACGTTATCGCTTACGTGTACCTTCAATAACATTAATCAAATGCTAAACGTTTTACCACCACACAGCAAAACTCACAATTTTTAACTCRAGCATAACAAAAACAATCAAAAATAAGCCCCATTTTGAATGAGATATGTTATATGTTGTCCTGGCTGGCCGAGCCATGTTGTTAGGCAATAACAAGGTAATGTTTTCACATGGAAAGAGATTTCATTTCCTAATCTCTGGCTGCCGTGAAACTCCACTAAGAAAAAAAAGAAACTAACGTAAAACCAGGTCGGTGTGTGGGAGAAGGACTGGTCAAAGGCTMAGGACAAAATCGAGACAATCAAATATACAGTCACTCTCTACCATGCTTTTATTAAGTACAAAAGTCGAATCGGAATCGGGACATCAATGTTTGGCTATTGAACTTGGGCCTTAATTAGAATTCACTGAGCGAGACCGGATGATTTTTTTTAAAGGATGAGCTTCAAAGCGCATTTTATTAGGAATTGCGTCGAGAGGCACCAGGCGTAAATTGTTATTTTTGTCGACAAAAACCAGCGATGTCGACTTGGCAGTTAGCTCGTAAARGGTATACAAATAGATACAAAAGTATGCTCTTCTGGAGCCTACAAGCATGTGACCTACTAAGAATAAGAATAGATTTTGCACGTTGTGAAACGGTACAGCACAGCACACGACACAGGCACGGTACGGCCGAACAAATCACAGYAGGCGAGACCACTGCTCAGCCAATGAGAATCCTCGTACAAAGCACTCACGGCACGGTGCTTCCGATCTGTGTCACCAGTTTCACAATCATACGTTTAATCGCTATCTATTCATCATTCTCATCGTACCCAGCTCTCTCGCCTTTATAATGGTGGAGTGAAGCTGAGAGGACTGCGTACGAGGTTGCCATTAAAACAATCCGCTGCGTAGCATTTTCGATCATTTTTTAACGACTTGAGATTTTCCGAATCAATTTAAAAGTTAAATAATAATATTCAAAACAAGCTAAGAAAGTAGAAAATATGAAGATAATAAAAGTYAAAATATTAAATTCAATAAAATTTYCTTCAATATAGAGATAAAAATAAAAATAAAAAACTGATCAAAAAATAAAATTWAAAAAATTAAAAAAKAAGATTTAACAAGATTTATTAAATATAGAATATAAATATTGGTTATCAACGCGGCCATCTTGGAGGTATTTAACAAAAGATTAATCATTGTCAATACGACCAAAATAACAACCACGTATTTCTTTTCTTATTCAAAACTTTGAAATAATACATAAATGAATTCTTCGCAGGAATTTTCAATGGAATTGAATTTCTTGAAAGTTCAAATTTTCAATACTAGCTTTGTCCGGCAATTTGAATTGCGCACGCGCCATTCGAAATTCCTGCCAAAATTCTATTAAATTTTATAAATTATTATTAATATTATCCAAATCGTATACAAAGAAAATTAAAGAAAATTCTGTCTCTTGGTCATAAGACACTTGTTTGTAGAATCCAGGGAGTCGAAAATAGTTTCGTATCTAATATATACCTTAAAATTTCTAGTCTAAAAATAGGCATAGCACATGACCGCATTATTTCAAGCCGCTGGCCCCAGTTACCCCCTTTTGTGATCGTAATGAACCCAGTATATTATAAAGAAGAGGCCATACGTGATGGGAAAGATAAACCTTGAGACGTAGTCGATCCAGTGGGACTTAGGTTTTGATGGTTTCTTCTTGGGAGAGTCTTTCGGGCCAATGTCAACCATGGCGTCCATTTCATGGTTCTAGTAAAGCGACCACAAGTGTTAGTGTTTTGGATTGAAATAGATTAGACTCACTCTCTGTAACACCACGGCAAAGAGGTTGAGTCAGTGAACGCGTCAATAAAGGTGTTTACATGACATTACATAGGCACGTGCCCTTGAATACCCTGAACACACGACAATGCCTTGGAAAAGCTTTGAATGATGTCAACTTGAACCGCACCTTATTTTGGTGCGGCGACGAAAGAGAGAAGTGCAATTTTGAAGGCACGCCGTAATCTCATTCCCAGAGCCCTTATTTCTTATTGCGCATGCTCGACGAAATAGTTTAGCGAGCATGCGCAGTAAGAAATAATGGCTCTAGGAAAGAGATTCGACACGCTGAGGTCGCGCCTTGACACCCTGTCTGTGAGGGATCGACAAGAAACGCTAAGTGAGCTGTAGGCTTATTATGAGTAACTCGTCCTGCGCTTTGGTAAAAATATGAGAAAGGTCTTCGCACTTTGCACGTCTTCGTGAAAGCCAAAACGACGTGTAGTTCGTGGGATACGTGTACGATACAGTATCCAGTCGTGTTCATACTAACCTTCGTGTTATTACGCTTTGATCCAAAGATATTCAAAAACGAGAAACTTTCGGTGAAGGTGGAATTGGTGTTGAGAACCAGGATRTACTCAATGAGAGCAGTGAAGATGAAACCGAAGGAGATGAGCATGAAATGGTCGACAGCCTTCATGTAGCTGACCTAGGGAATATTAAACATGATATTAGAAGAAGATTAGAAAAACTAATAAATGATCAATACAGGACAAACTAACAAAGTATATGAGAAGTTAGACGGATAGACAGACAAGCAAACGTCAATCAATCATTTTTTTTTATAAATCCTTGGCTTGTCTTTTGTGACTCAGTTAGTGGCGAAATAGCAAGACCTCAGAGAGCCACGCCTTGTCCGGATGATACAAAAAAAACTATCACTGATAAATACCTTGGGCATATTATTGTTAACAGAGCTTGATAACAGTATGGTAGTCAGTATAGTAGTGATAGACAAGGCTGTTCTGGCAGGAACAGCAGCTGGAGATATGTAAAACGTAGTCCAAGACAGAAGAACAAGAATCACTTCTGGCACGTAAATAGACGAGATGTAGAAATCCAAGCGTCTTTTGAATTGAAAAGTGGCTTTGAGACTCGCGAAAGATCCTGAGGAAAAATTCACATAATAGAGCTATAGAGGCTTTGCACCATCACGTGATGGCAGCCATGACAGGAGGCATAACAATAGAGTCTTTTCCCCTGGGAAACTGAATTCTTTCTCATGTAAATCAGATTAGACCAGATTCAATCGTTCCTGCCCCCTGTCATGGCTGCCATCACGTGATKGTGCAAAGCCTCTATTCATCCTAGATTTAATATTTCCCATGTCAGTCCACGTGTCAATCTCTTGAGAATAAGATTCTTTTCCTTAGTCGTATCCATATTCATGTGCCTTCTCACGCACAGCCTTTAAACAAAGAAATAATACTCAAGGGAATAAAACACGTGGTCTGAAATGGGTCTATCGTGGGGCTTTTGTGTCAGCCATTTTGGAAACTGATCAASCAAGCCTTTACACGCCGGCCTGGTTACTTTTCAAAATGGCATCAGAAATCGAAGTGTCTTTTGAATTGAGAAGTGGCTTCGAGGCTTGCGAAATAAAGATTTTGAGGGGAAATTAGCCGTTTTGGAAAATGAGCAACCATGCTTTTAGCCTTAACACGCAGGCCTGGTTACTTTTCAAAATGGCGGAATCCAAACAAGAATGTGAGATACTTACCTTTGCTGTTTTTCGAATTTTTGGTCTTTGTCGTTATTCCCAGAAGATCAAACTGCGCCATTTCTTTAGAGACGATCTCGATTCCCTGTGAGTCTCCTCCTTTCCATTTGTAATCCACGTCAGCAACTGTATGCGCATCTATCAAACATAGCAGAAATGAAARGATTACTTTATCGATGACATCATATGGTGTGACGTAACAAGTCAGTCAYATGACGATTTATGTGGAAGGTCAGACGTCATAGAGCAGGTTACATGGTTACGAGATAGGTCGCAGGCAGTCCAATCTCCGTTTATGTGGGAATCAATAAAAGTCTAAAATTTAGAAAACGTTTATAGACTTCTGTTAGCGTTAAGCTAGAAACAGATAGTACTTTGACTCAAAAATATATATCAGAAACAGAGATTGGGTTGCCTGTGGAGAGAATACAACCAATCACGTGATATGTCATATGACAAACCGCTGGCCAGACAATGGGTCATTCATTTCTACTTTACTTACAGCTCTCTATTCTTAGTGGACAGAATTGTGTATCCATCGGATAGAGACGCAGGTCCATGTCACACTGTAGCGTTAGTGTTATCCTTTAACAAAAAGATTTTWAAAATATTTTTACAGGCACAAAACAGCGTCACAACATGTTTATTAAGTGTAGACTTTTCAAGATTGCGCAAGAGACGATAATAATTCTCTTCACGGTAACGGTACACGAATAACGACGTTTTTTCGTTAAAACAATTACAGCGAGCGCAACTCATTTTTAAGAATGTAACAAAGCTTGAAGACTGCGCCGACATACACTTTTTAAAAATACGTTACAATCGCTTGAATAAACGAAAATGATTTCATTGATTAAAACATATTGTACTGGAAAACATTTCGGGATATCGTGGCAGCTATATGTACAAAACCAGAAAACATGTCTTGCTTTCTTTTGTGAAACAAACTCTTTCTATAAACAAAATTCATTATTTCTCGTATGCAGCACGATTTTCATGAAAACCATTCCTTAACGAGGTCGTAGCAACCACTTAAAAAAGGTGGTCCTGTTTTATTATTTAATCGTGTAATCAATATTTTTTACGAGGGGTGAAAATGGTTCTGAAGGTAAAAAGTGGTACGGTTGAAACTGAAACAACCATACTGGTGTGGCTACAGCCCTGCTTAATGAGCACGTAATGCGAGATATTTTTTAGATTCTTCCTTACCTCGCACTAAAGTAAATCTTGCCACTTGGATGAATCATGACTCTCATGTTCTCTCTGGTCACTCTATGGTAGTTTGCATTCTTCACATTCCAGAAATAAGTATCCGGTGTCCAGAACATCTCTGTTGGATCTGCTGCCATAGTGAAGGGTTTTGTGAAGTTATTAGCAAATCTACGATCGTACCACCACTGACGGAAGAAGATATCCATCGTATATTCCTATAATTATAAATAAATAAATATATATATATACCTTAATAAATAATAGATCGCGTTAAAGTTCAGACTAGGCTAGGCTAGGCTTTAGGAGTATGGTACTTCATGTGTTGTTCAAACTGGTGGATCACCAAGTACATTTATTGGTAGGAATAAAATAATGTACCATAAACGACGTTCCTACCTTCTGGAAAGTATTTGGGAACTTTTGGTAGTAATTAATGCTATTATTCAGTTCACTACTCAACAAAGTGATAATCGAATCTACAGCACTATACTACTGATATTTTTGAGGATTACTGCATTATCTCGAACGTAGCTTATTGACACTATACCATTTTTGCTTCTTTGATTTCCCCAAAGGATATGACCTTGAATTCAACTTCTACCAAAACTCTTTCCCCTGTAAATTTAACCAGAGAATTTAAAATCTAAATACAGCTACCAAAAATGGTTGTTGCATGTTGCATGCTGCATGCTGCATGTTGCATGTTGCATGTTGCATGTTGCGTGTTGCGTGTTGCGTGTTGCGTGTTTGCGTGTTGCGTGTTGCGTGTTGCATGTTGCATGTTGCATGCCAAGCCCGAACTGCACTATGGGCGATGTGAACCAAACATTCAACAACTTTTTTGAAACAGAGCAAAACCACATGATAGAGGGAGTTTCACGACAATGAAATGTTTTTGAATGACAGAGGATTTTCAATCAGTAAAGCTAACAGTACATTCTTACCTCCAGCATCAGGCCTGACATTTCTGCTATTGTTCTTAATTRCTTGGTTTATAAAATCGGATATTTTTTTGGATTCTTCCATGGACTTTCTCATTTCCTCTGTAATCCTGGCGAAATAAATTCAGCAATACTTTCAGAATAAGAGTCTCATCCATATACATGTATCTCTACAAGAATTTTTAAAGGAAAACATAATACTCAAGAGAATGGCAGTGATGGCATGAATTGGGAAAACAGTGACAACCTCTATTTTGTCCTAATTTCATCGATTCTTTACCGGGCTGTTTCAGTTCGAATGACTCAATCAGAGAGGTCGGTGGCTTCAAAGGTTCGGTCGCTTTAACCAGATTGTAAATTGACGAGACTGATCGGTCTTTTTAAATAGATGGTTTGGACGAGTACGGTAGGTGGTCGTTAAGGAGTGAGACCTGCCAGCCTTGATTTGGTAACCATTGGAGTGGCATGTGACGTCATAGCCGCCATGTTGGTTGACTTGAGCAAAATATTTGGTATTGGTTTCTTTTGTAATGTCAACCAACATTGGCGGCCACGTCTTTTGTCCTTGTGCATGTGACGTCATAGCCGCCATGTTGGTTGACTGGAACAAAAGATTTGGTCTCGGTTTCTTTTATGTCAACCAGCTTGGCGGCTATATGTTTATTGTCATTTTGGTTGATTGAACAAACGGTTTCGTCTTGGCTTCTTTCAGTGTTATTTCATCCAACATGGCGGCTACGGTGTGTTTTATTTTCAAGGGAAGGCAAGCACACCACCTATGCAAAGCCACTCAGTCATGTCCATACGCATTATATATTGGAATCTACTTACACATCTTCGCCAGCTCTTGTCTGCTTGAGTGACAATAAGAAGCACACAACGACAAGAAGAAGAAAATAGTGCCGTTGAAATAAACTGCAATACCTGGTGAAAAGAAAAATTATACAACAGCTCAAATGTCTTAACTTATTGTATTTAATAGTAACACTGATTCTTACGACCAATTATAAGTACAACTAGGAAATCATTTTTAGAATAAATTCCTGCGTGTTYCTGTAAGTTTTGGTGAATCGTCCTTTTGGTAAAACTCTAAAGGCAGTTTAATCGAAATACAGTAAATTAAAATCCATCACGTGATGGCAGCCATGACAGGAGGCACAAAAATAGGGTAACTTTCCTCTGGGAAACTGAATTATTTCTCATGTAGATCAGATTAGACTGTATTCAATTGTTCCTGCCTCCTGTCATGGCTGCCATCACGTGAGGGTGCAAAGCCTTTATTGGTTTATTTGATGGGGCCAGTTCATATTTATTTATCTTCTCAAGCGCTTCCGTGTAAAAAAAGACTGATAATACTCAAGGGAGTGTGGTATTTCAAAGTGGCAAAATTGATATTTCATTCAGTTTTACGGTATCTTTGCACAACATCGTGAAGAACTACGTAAAACAAAGACAATTACAAACCACAGGGTACCCAACTCACCCGGGCGAAGCCATATTAAAGCAAACTGCCAGATACAGCTTCAAAGGCGGGCTTTCTCTGGATACTTGGCGATCTTCAAAGTTAAAAATAAAATAAAAGTTAATAAATAATTCAAGTTTTACATTTAAGATGTTTTTGTTTTTTTCAAAAGAAAATTCACAACCCCCGGATGAATGACGTCACTATCAAAATAACACCTTTGATATACCTAGTGCGAAAACATATAAGTGAAACGACCTATCACAACAAAAGAAAGTAAATAATTTCTCATTTTTCTTCACTGAATGGTTGGAAATTACAAATCACTGCAGGTGTAAAGCAGATTACAATGATTTACCCTTTATTTTTGTGGTTTTTGTTCAATTATTTTCGTTGATCAGAATAACAGCCAGAGAGCTATTGAAAAGTTTGATAACATTATTGTACAGTATTATCAAGCTAAATGAGTTTCCTTTCCTAACTGCAGTCCAGACAAATTCATTTTAAATTTCCCCCACAGGGCGTTGAGACAAAGCTTGTATTCGATAAGCGAACATTGCCTCTGGCCTTAAAGAAAAACCACTATTTTAGTCATACACCATCGGCGATACGTCTCATTTCATAAAATTACCATTCTAAAGCTTTAATTTGAATAAAAACTTGACTGAGAATTTTTAGGTTTTGTCGTGTTGACTATATCTGAATACACATATTAAAAAAAAGTATTTTTTTTTTTTTTCGCGTGTTGATTTATCGAAAATTAAAAACGAAAAATAAAAAAGAAAGAAAAATAAAACACTGATTCAAGAATGGAGTGATTTTGAATTACATTCAATTTGTTTCAAAAGCGAAAAAGTGTATAATATTCCATAATTTAGGTGTTTTTCAACAGCACCTTTTAAAGATCTGTAAAAATAAATGTATTTGTTCAAGTCGGAGAATTAATTTTTTACTCGGAGTATTGTTCAGATTGTCAAACTCGAAGTATGGAAGTACCGGCCGATATAGCACGATTTGAAAGCTTACCGTTTGGACGTCCATTTTATATTGTACATTTTGTACACTAAGCAAATTCGACACCGTTTCTTTCTTCTTCTTCTTCTTCTTCCTTTTTTTTTTTTTTTTTTTTTTTTTTTTTTTTTTTTTTTTTTTTTTTTTTGAGCCACGGTGTTCAAGCTGCGTCACCTCTCCCTCCCCCCAAATGCATATTATATTCTCTGACCTAACTAGCTACTAATAACCTATGAAGAAAAGGAATGTAATATAAAGTTGAGTTGGGAACTGATCAATTCATACTTAGTTAAGCATGCACGGTCCAATGTCAAGAACTAGTCGAGTCTTGTACACAAGTCTCCTTCCCCTTCTATGGGTTCGAGAGAAGNTTTTTACTTTCCCTTTTGTCTTCTTCTCTTTTCTTTTCTTTTCTCGGTTTCTTTTCTTTCTCTGTATTTGTTTTAAGATGATCCTGATTTAACCCACGTTCAACGACAAATCTTTTCCATGATCTGATACCTTGATCACGTGACGCATTTTTCGGAATACTTAGCAATCTGACTCAAAGTTAAATCATTTAGTATAAAAAAACGCGCTCTCATAATTTTTATCTCACAAAGATAAGCTTTTAAAAGGACGATGATAATTCTTAAATACGAATGCGCCTTTCTTATCGAAAAAAAATATAAAATTTTACTTCCAAATACTGATAAAAAAGTTTCGCAGATCGAGAAGGGCTAAAATGAAATAATATTGTCATCGATTCCAGTGTTGAAATATCTCGACTCTGAAGTTGGTTTTCAAAACAAAATTCGTAAAGAAAACAAGTTTGGCATCTTTATTTCCTTTTTATTTATGAAACTTAATAAATTCTCTTATCTTAGTTGTCGGTGGACTTTGAAATTTGATTCGGAAATTTGCAGTGATTTATAATTTAAAATCACTGCAACGCTGAATTGGATACACAATAGTAAACAAAATGGTTCATGGCGTTATTCATTCCCGTGTTGCAGTTTGGATTCAGACAGGAATTAATTGGCTTTTATCGAATATTTTCATCTTTAGAGCGACGCTGTAGATGAGATAACGGATCCAACGTTCTAAAAAGCTTTGATGACTGGAAAGTGAATATGTAAATGAGCAGGATGCCCCTGTTAGAAGCTTAAGGAAATATCTGTTTTGAAATATCGGTATTTTGGCGGCGTTCAGTCTCTTCTATTACAGTACGCGGTTTGCAAAACCGTCGCTAAACAGGCCCGGACTGTTGTGATGAAATTCCAAACGGAACCTAAGGTAAACTCAAAACTGATTACCTTCAAGACAAAATAAGTATATAGACGGTAGTTCTGTGAATTTCTTTAGCCTAAATATAATTAGCCATGACTTTGTTCTTAACATTAGTTTTCTGTAATAAAAATAAAGTTTACATTTACGGTGTTTATAGTATCATTTAGAATGAAACCAAGTGGGATAAAAGTTTGTTAAATTTGGGGATGTTTTCTTTACTTTTTCCTCGTCCATGGAACGCCTTTCGAACATTTACGACAAGCTTGTACCGGCTTCTATTTGAAATATCGGCAGCAAACTCAAATAAATAAGAAAAATAAAAAGATGCGGTATGAAAAACCGGCTTTGCCCTTGAGGACGTAACCGTTGTGCAAGAATAGAAAAAAGAAACATAAAAATAAAGTGTTGAATTTCATTTCACGTACCTTTGAAGTTCGTGATGCCTGGGAGGTATTTATGTCTGTGTTGAATGTGATGGAATCCTATTTATTGCATTGTATATGGTTGGGAATGAATTTAACGCACCGCAGGGAAGCTAATTTACAATCAACCTTTAATATAGTTTGGCCGAAAGCACCTGCAAAGATCTGCACGGATTTAACTGGCTCTTCTGAGACACTCACACTCATTTACAAACTGCAAAATAATTTTGACTTCAGTCACTTAATTTAATTTATCCGTGGAAAATAATCCAAGAGAAAATAATAAGATAAATAAAAAAGATACATCCTCCTAGTAGTAAGACAACTAATACTACACCAGAAAAAATACTTTACTAATTAATTTTGTGAGATAATTTTATTTATATATGGTTTTGGTTGCTAGGATCTTGAAGATAAAACTAGTGAGCTTTGCGGATTAGAATTTACATCACGATCGATCAAATAATTCTCGACAATTCTATCTTAATAATGATCAAGAGTTCTCACGATTTGACAGGTTGTAAACATGGTGTAAAGAGGTATTTACAAAGTGTTTTAGAACCATTAATGATTTAAGTATGTTCCACGTACTTAAGAATCTTTTATCTTTTTGAAGTGTTTGTACAATTGTTTAAAAAAAACACAAGAAACAAGGCGGGGCAAATCACGCTAGGTTTTCTTCCAATATGTCGCAATGACGAAGTTTACAAAATACAATGATTTTTGGAACTGTTTTTCTTGTCAAAAGATAGCAAATTTCAGAGGTGCCAAATATTATACTGACGTTGCCAAACCATAACCACAGCTAGATGATCATTTTTAATTCATAAACCAAAACTTTGCTTTATATTTACAGGTCAATATTAGTTTTGAACGTGTACGATAAGTATTTTGAACTACAAAAGCAAATAATTCTTTCTAACTTTTTCGAGTTAAATTGTACTAAATGTCATTACTTTTTAGGGGAAACTCCAAGTWTTTTGGCAATTAAATATAAATTTATTTTAAATGAATATTCTCTTAGCACAGTTATAACAAAAGATGGTAGTGTAGCGAAGTAAATGCTTCCGAGTAAAGAGCTGCAAAGACCAACACTCACTGACAGTAAAGCATAAAAGTTAAGTCATGTATAGTTGAAATCATTAATTTAAATTGGCAACAACAAACTTGATTTTTGTAACCAAAAGCTTTATCAAAACAATTCGTTCATAAGCATAAAAATACTTAGAGATATTAAATTAGATGAAAAGTAATTAGTTCAATTCACCTGAACAACCTGTTCTACTACAATAAACAAGTTCAGTAAAACGCATTCATTTCGATAGATAAACATCTGAACGAACGGCGAAAATTTTGCTGCGATATTGCAGAAATTGCTTCAATTCTTGACTCAGTCAGTTCTAAGTTTTTAAGAAGTATTTCATTACTAAAAAGAACGGCATTTCTATATATATATATATATATATTTTTTTTTTTTTTTTTTTTGCGACATTAAAATTAATTTTTTTCGTGATTTATTCCCGGAACAGGCAATTTCCCGCGCCAGATTTTGCTTCTAGTATTTTTGAATTCGAAGTTTTGGATAATAGCATTTATTGAAACTGTTTTATCTTTTGTTTTTATCTCTGTTTTTTATTTCATAAATTATTAATTTTGGCGTGTTGCCGGGTGTTAATGTTTGGTTGTTGAAACTACAACCACACTTTCTTGGTCCGATTGTTTGTTGTTTTTTTTTTCACTGAGTACGACGATTCTATTTTCGCGCCAAAAAATTATCACCTTTGACCCCGATGGTCAATTGAACCAATCACTCAACAGGCGGCCGCGCGTATGTCACTACTCGTGTACACATATGCGCAGCAGGCAGTTCAAAACAGATACAAATGCTATCAAAATGCATAAAGATCAGTCTTGTTTTAAGGTAGAAACAGATTCCATGAAAGGTCTTACATTGTGGTAAAACAGGTACATGTTACCTGCAGAAACGAATCCCTTAGGAACGATCACACAGGACCCCCATTTCTTACGAGGTATCATTGCGTTTTTTCATTTAAATTTCTACTTTGGGGGTATTATACTCTTGGTGCGATACTCCTCCTAGTCTTCATTCAAGGTATAATATTTGGTCAAATAAGGAGATGAAACTATTGTGCGGTTGTATCACCAAACGAGAGGTACGTCAATACAGATGTTTCTAGAACTGAAATGCTGAGCAGTTAGTTTAGCATCAAACTGTTGTCTTTTCAAACTGTTATATCTATTTTCGCACTATTCAGTTTAGCTAGTTATCTCTTCTATCTATTTTTATGACAATTAACATTGAACATAAAGCACCTTTAGTATCTACCTTCAGTTTCTTGGTGTTGCAGGATGTATTGTATTCTTGGTCAGGTTTCTTGGTGTTGCAGGATGTATTGTATTCTTGGTCAGGTTTCTTGGTGTTGCAGGATGTATTGTATTCTTGGTCAGGTTTCTTGGTGTTACAGGATGTATTGTATTCTTGGTCAGGTTTCTTGGTGTTGCAGGATGTATTGTATTCTTGGTCAGGTTTCTTGGTGTTGCAGGATGTAATGTATTCCTAGCTAGGCTAGCTTGTTGCTGCAGGATGTATTGTATTTTTGATTTCATGTATTGTATTCTTGGTTCTCTAATGTGCGTGTGACCGCATACTCAACCGCGTTATCTCCGCCTTACTATTCCTAAACTGCAATATAGCCGACGCATTAGAAAACAAGGATCCTTACGAACAAATAAAAACTGTAAAACCTTAACCGAAATCAGAAAAACAAACTCTTTCAAACATGAAACTCTTAGTCTTTAACAGAACCATCAAAATAGCAAATATTTAAAAGAAATAAAGCAGAAAATGTAACGGCTTATTAAAAACACGAATAAAACTGACGGTAGCTTGAATGTCTTCAAAGGAATCTTTCTTTACGTTCTTTTCCACACCTTTTTTTTTTTTTTTTTCTTTTTCTAAATTCATGATTGCTATTGGATCTTTTTTAAGACAAGCTTTATTTACTGGTTAATCGACTTGCATATTTTCTAAAAATATCTAATTACAGAAATTAGATCATCCGGCTCCCACGCGTAAATCAGACGGTACCTCAATCATTTCAAAAAATGCTACAAACCACAGTTTAAGACACCAATTAACTTGAATCTTCATTCTATTTAAAACTGAGTATTTATCACCTCTTTCCTAATATGACAGCTTTTTCATTGACTTAGTTACTAATATATGCCTGATTAATATTTTAATTGCCTAATAATTTCTTCTTTTTTCCAATGACATGTACCGCCTCTTATAGAAAATGGAATAGCGTCATTATATGATCCAAACTTTACAGTGAAACCACTTGCTGCGCTCGTGGTTCCACTTGAGTTTCGATAAGAATACAGACCATAGAAAAGGAACCTCGATTTGCTCACTAATCTAGAGGTTAGTGGCAAGTAAAGGTTTCAGTAAAGGTTTTGTGGCATGTTGCTTACTCTGTGTTAATGTATTATATCCACAAATACGCAGAAAAATTTATACCCGTAAAACGTGCAGACAAAGTTTAGGAAAGTTTCATATTATTGCGATCTTTTGGTGATGGGATTCACATCTCCCATAATGCATTTCGGGCATAGTCTGCGAATATCCAGCATGCCGAAACCTTCGCAAAACCTTCACCAACCTTTTTTGAAATAGCTGTATATGACACCTCATTTGAGAACGAAGTGAAATGGCGAATTGTGTCATAATTTCGGATTTCAGATCTCCAACCGACAACGGTTTTTGAAATAGGTGTTAATCATTCTCGTATTATTTAATTGTAAAAAAATATGCAAAATGAATTTGAGTTGAGTGAAATCAACAGGAGGTCCAGGGAGCAAAACCATCTTTTATCAAAGTGGAGTTGGCACACTGTAGGGGAGAGCAATTAACGGCAGACCACATCATGTGAAAACACCGTTATTTTCGATGAATGGAAAACAATTAAATGCTGTTATATGGTTTCTGTTCATTTCTTGATGGTTCGAAAGTTCGAGGGGAAAATCGTTTGATGGTCAGCAAACACAGCCAGTGGTCGTTCTTCGGTCAAAGTGTTTATCAGCCGAAATAAACATTTATTTATTGTCTTAGTTCAATCAGTTTTAATTTTTTTGAATTTCTAACAGTACGATCGATGATGAAGACGTTTGGTCAGAAGACAGTTTGTTAATGTCATTGTTGTACTTTTCTTCTTTTTTCCTTCTTTCCTATCCTCTCTCTATCTTTCTTCTTATTCTTTGTTTAACTTACCACCATTCTTGCTTGGGGTGCATGCTACGTCATAGCCGCCATGTTGGTTGCAACAACAAAGCATTTCCCATCAGCTTCTCTTGTTAGATCAACCAACATGGCGGCTGTTTCATTGTTATTGGTATCTCAAGGGATTTGGAGTCATGTGGTTGCACTACAAGCCAATATCGTTATCTACCACTCCCCTAGTCCAAAAAAAGAACTTCGTAAAATTTAGAGTAAATGGACATATACCTTAATTCTTTATTCTCTGTTCCTATGGGAAAGGAAATCTTTTCCCGACTCATTCTTTTTCGCTGTAGCATTTCGTTTTCCATTGAAACCTCGCTTTCAGATTGTTTTCTTAACAGTATAGCAGTCATGTGACGCAACTACCGAGAGCATCGATTGTTAGATTTGCACGCCGACAGGATATTGATCCTGACATACAGGCCGACAATAGTACGTATGATCATGGCATCGACCAACGAAAAGATATTGATCGTGGCATAGGCCTAGCTCTCCGAGACTCCGAGAGGATAGATGGCCTTTCATATCAGTTATGGAGTCAAACATAAAAATGATCTGTTGTTGAGCTTATCATTCTAAGGAAGTAAAACTAGAGGCTACAAATATCATTTTTAAATCATAATTTCTTTTCCAAAAACATTTTCCCCTCATCAATTTTATTCTTAGACTGAAAGAATATCGTAAAATGTATTTAGCAGAAGACGACCTTGTACATGAATTACTAATAAAAACGTGTCCATAAAATACTAGGAATAAAAGGTTACTTCTAATTCAATGTTGGTCGTACATTACTTACCGAATTCCAGACATATTCATTCATCTATTTGACCAGGCTCCCTGCGGACAGCCATTAACAACCAACCGTGCAGACAGTAGTCATAAACCAATGACGATTTTTTAAAAGGAAAATCAAACAAAAAATGTACAATGAATAAACGGTGGTTAATTGAGAATCAGGGATGGTTCATTTGGAGACTTGTTCAATGGTCGGCGAAATCATTTGTAAATGTAACATTGTATCAGTGAAGGATGCGCGACCGGTCCGTTTATCCTGTTCTGTGCACACAAAGGATCAACTGTAATGGAAAGATAATTTGGTATGTTTTTTTAATTTGTAGTGGATTTTTTCAGAGCTTTTCAGCCACATGTAATATTTCCTGAGCCAATAAAAAGCGTTTCTCGTTGAATTATTTATTCTTTTGGCTTTAAACTGCTTGCAGAAACATCTATTATATTTTGCTAGAAATCTCACAATAACTACGGTGTAATTAAAAGAAAAAAGCTATTGAGTTCGGCTACACGAAATGTAAAACTATTCAGCAAAAGGCTGGCCCCACGCTGGCTTTAAACAGGCAAGTGACGTCATAGTTAATATCAACTCCAACAAAAAATATGTAATTATCGAGACACCGTGGAACTGACTTACTCAAAATGTCGGATTTTATCATTTAGGGAGAAAAACAAAATTATAAATCTGATTGTGTGTATGTTGAAGCTGTTAATGTTTTGTCGAACTTATGGCGGACGCGGAGTGATCCTGGAATCTAGAAACAGATATTTCTTCTGATTGTTTGTAAAACAAAGACATGACTTCGAAAAAGTGTAGAATAAACTAGAACGTCGGAAATGAGGACATGTGGACTTACAAGGTTGTGGCAATGGCTGAGAAATCAAATCGGCATCTTCAGGTCACTTGCGTGACCAGGCTTACGTGACCAGGGCATGTGGAATGCGCCTGAAGTCTGAAAATAAAGATTTCTTCTGATTGGTTGGAAAAGATGACAGATATATCTGGAGACTTACGGCACGCACGTGGAGTGGGGATCTTTTTCTAATATTTCTTTTTCTCGTAATAAAATAACACTAAAGCCGAGTCCCGCATTTCCAGAAGCGCCTGATCCTTGTTTGGTTGCATACACCATCACATTCCAGAACAAGCTATATTTAAAAAAGCCATTAGTCGATTAATCGTGTTGTGTTGATAACCAATGTCCCAATGTCCCAATGTCCCGTGACTGGCTCCATGTTGGAAGATATAAAACATGAAAAAAGACATGGCTGCCATGTTGGAAGATATAATAAAAAAGCATTAAGCATGGTAACTATGTTGGATGATATTACAGAGACATGGCCGCCATGTTGGATGATAGGATAAAAAAAGCATGGTCACTATGTTGGTAGATATTACAGAAGACATGGCCGCCATGTTGGATGATATAACGAAAAAACAAGGTCACCATGTTGGATGATATTACAGAAGACATGGCCGCCATGTTGGATGATATAACGAAAAAACRAGGTCATCATGTTGGATGATATTACACTGAGAAGACATGGCCGCCATCTTGAATTATATAACAAAATTAAATATGGCCGCCATAAATATTATTATGAAGTTCAATCAACATGGAGGCTCGTAACACCATGTTTTGACAATTTAACATTTATTCTTCAATCTATCTTTTTTTTTACAGCTTTAGAGCTAGTCTTATTGTGAAATGTCGATTCAAAAATCGATGGTATGGACTGTCTCAATAGTTGTCTTCTATGGCAGCTACACCAGACTACTAGCGGTAACATTTGGACGAGGTTCTGACTTGGACTGGGTCGAGCGTATGTGTATTCTATAGAAGGCTTTAATAGCATGCTCAGTTTTTCTTTTTCCAATATTAAAGCGCATGTACACCTACTTGCAAGAACGTCATACTAAAATAAAACAGTGATTTAGTGTGATAGGAATTATATTAAAAAACAAAAGAAGATCACTGAAGCTGAACTTTTTCTTTTGTCTTTTAATGTATTCCTTTCTCACTAAATTACTAATGTTCTAATATCGTATGACAACGTTCTTGCAAGTAGGTGTATATAGAAATTTACTACAAATGTTATAAAATGATGCCTAAATCAAATATTGGGAAATATACAGTTTGTTAACGGTACTGATTGTGAATCTTAAATTATATTAATGGCTTCCGTATTCAAGCAATGTGATTGGTCGTTATCAGTGTGACATGCGCAGTATTGTGACTCTAATGGCTAACGCATTCGAGCAATGTGATTGGATAGTGTCAGATTTCCTTGTTTTTGATTGGTTCAAAAKAAAGGAATCAATTATTCTTTTATTAGGGTTTTTCGAAAAAATATGATTTATTATGCATATTTTACTTTTCGAGTCAAAAATTATTAAAAAATGCAAAAGCATTTATCTTAGGAGGATGATGATCTCATCCCAACCTAAAAAAAGGGCGCGTAACTTGGAAGCACAAGCTAAGTATATAACCTATAAAGCATCATATACGTACGAATAATATAGCCAGTATCCTAACAAAAAGAGTGCGTAAGCTAAAGGGAAGCACACTCTTGCCAATTTATCGACTTGATGATGGCTACCGTCTCTTTTGTATTTAGTTCTTGAACTGTTTTCGGGCACAAAGCGCCTGTTTTTTCGCGGTCGATTGGTACAGTTACTTTTATCACGATCCATGATTGTAATAATAACATTGTGGGCTTCCTGTGGGATATTGAAACACACCAAGAGACAACAGTATTAGTGTTATGTATGACATTATAGTCAAACAAGAAAACAGGCAAARCTTTCGTGTACCTAAATATCAACTCCACTCGTGTTCTCTCGTGTCCGCCTCTCGTTTTCTCTCGTGTCCTTTCCTCTCTTCTTCTCTCCGATCTGGACCCCTCTCTTCTTGTGTCGTTTCGTGTCTTCTCCTCTTTTTTCTCATCTCAACCCCCCTCTTCTCGTATCCTCTCCTCTCACTTCCCCCCTCACCTCTCGCTCTTCCCCTCTCCTCTCTCTCCTCTCTCCTCTCTCCTCTCTCTCCTCTCTCCTCTCCTTTCCTCTTTTAGGCTTTACTCAACAAACGTGTGGCACAGGTGTGACACAGACTAAACTAAGTGTTACCCTTTTTTTGTAATAACTATGATAGTACATAAGACTAATATTTACCATAATATCACCGTTTTCCTTTTCTTTGTACTTTCTTTTTCCAGGCGATGTGTTCAGCACGAACACATACTCCAACAACGTACAGAAAATAAAAACGAAAGACACAGACAGAAAATAGTCGATTGCCTTCATGTAGCTGACCTTAGGCATGCTTTCATTGATAGTAGACGACAGGAAAAAAATAGCCAAGACTGTTGTGACGCTGAGGCTGACGCGTGCTGGTACCGCTTTGGGAGAAATCCAGAATTGACACCAGGAAATGATGACCAGAAAAATGGTTGGCATAAAACTCTGGTAGAAAAAATATGTTGTTCGACGCTTAAAGGAAAACCAGGCCTTGAGGCTAGAGAACGATCCTGTGCAGGAGATCGAGAGGAAACCATAGTTTAGTAGATCAAGCTTTACTACAAATATGCGCATTTGATCATATTCACATGTTAAAGTCGCGCTTTATAAATATTAAATATTATTTTTAAATATTATTATTTTTAAATATTATTATTATTATGAAAAACGGTCCAACTTTTGGTCACGCGCGTGGTTCATGACTACGTTGAGTCACGCAATCACAGTGCGTGAGATTACTCTGAATGTAAGGTTCTCGATAGCAAATTGTAATTCCGCCCGCGTGAATGGAAATCAAGGGTAGTGTATAGCCACCTATTCTTATCTCTAGGGTCTCGCGCACATTTCCTGGACTTGGCATCACATTGACGTTAGCCATGACCTGACTTTGATTACCTTAGTTTCAGGGTATCGATAGAATTTGAAATTGTTTCCTTTTTCAATTAAAAGCGACTGTAAAATTCCATGGATTTCAAAAGACTAAACCAGAAGTAGAGTGGTGTAGTATTTATTGACGTACCTTTACTGTTGGACTGGGCTCCGGAATCTTTCCTCACTTCAAGCAGCTCAAACTGCGCAATATTTCCTGTGACAACCTCGATTCCATCATGCTTGTTACCAGTCTTCCAATTATATCTCAGGTCCTCGACAGTGTGCGCGTCTGCGAAAACAATCGAGGCTATAAACACAACTAAACCTCTTACTCTAGTCGCTGTGTTTTTGCACAAATGTTTATGTTTTCTTGTTTATGTTTTCATGCTTTGATTTAAAATTCTGAAGTACTTACAGCTCTCGATGATGAGAGGACATCGCTGAGTGTCCATTGGATAAATAAGAAAGTTCATGCTACACTGTACAGTCAAAGTTATTCTACCAAGAAAAATTATTAGCAGTGTGGCTCGTTCGCATGTATTGGTTCATTGCAGGCCCTCCTTCTCCTTCCATCCTCTCCCCAGTCTCCCTCCCCCTCCTCTCCCCAGTCCCCCTCCCCTTCCTCTCCCCAGTCCCCAACTCCTTACCTCTCCCTTCCCATTTGGACCGCTACGCAGGCTATCCCTACGGTACAAAGTAAAACAACTGACTCACCTGGTGCTAAAGTATATTCTTCCATCAGGCCATATCATAATTCTCATATTTTCTTTTGTCACATAGTGATAGATAGACCGTTTAGCATTAACGAAGTAAGTGTCTGGCGTCCAAAAAATCTTAGTCGCATCGCCTGCAATGTTGAAGATGCGGTCGACGTCATGAGCGAACCGTGGATCGACCCACCATTGGCGGAAGTAGATATCCAAAGAGTATTCCTGGATGATATGACATAATATTGTCATTTCACAAAACATGATTGTGCAGTGTGTTCTTGAGGTTAATAGGCGTCATGTTGGTTGACGATAACAAAGCATTTCTCATTAGCTTCTCTTGTTAAATCAACCAACATAGCGGCTGTATCATTGATATTTATATATTTATCTCGAGGGATTTTGAGTCACGGGTTGCACCCTACGAATATCACCAATGTCTTGTCTTTGTCAATTCAAACAAAATCCTCATAACATTTGTCCTCGCTCTTTCATTCAGCCACCTACTCTTCCCCTCTTCGTCCGTACGTAAATTCGACAAGGGAAAAATAATGACATACATTGTTAGCATTTCGGTTACAGCTACCCCTTTAGACTCTAAAACATCCCTGTAAATCAGTCCTGACTCCGCGGCCCTGGTGTCACTATTCATACTACATTACCATGCTTGCTTCCAAGAACTCGCCAAAAGACACAATTTTCACTTCAACCGTCACGTCCACCGGGTCACCTAAGACAATAAAAACACTAAATAAACCAAGTAAATAAGTCTGATAGTTTTCAAAGCTGGGATATTTTGTATACTCACCGCCATCGTTTGGTCGTACTTTGATGTCATATCCGCTGTCTTTTAATATGTAGTTAATGACACGTGATAGATTCTGAGCCTTGATCATAGTATACCTGTTGCTGGATAATCACACTCATTATCAAAAGGATGCTGATGTAAAATTGGCAAAAAACGTTGCCAGTATTTACAGCACGCATGTGACGCGCATCTAAATTTTGAGCCTGTTGTGTGCAAATTTTATAGAAACACGGTCAATTGCGCCGAAATTTAAATTCCATTCGGGACTCCTGTGAAAAATGGCGAGAAACTCTAAACATGAAACGCGTATTTCGAGGTTAAAATGACATTGCAGTGCATTTTGGGACTGCTTTAGGGGATATATCCAAGATGGCGTCTAATATGTGCCTTTTTCACGCGGCAGCCATCTTGGTTTGACCAATAGATCCCATCACGCGTAACCTCGCATTCTCGTCTTAGGAATAAAATTTATGAGGGTTAAACAAAGGTTTCTTTTCTCATGAGAATAAACATGGCCGCCGTGTGATAAAAGTCCATTTTGTCTCCTAAAACATACCCAAAATGCACTCCACTGCTAACTACTCGACCCAGTTTTTCCTCAACCTCGGAATGGCTTATTCTTGTGCCGGTATTGGCGGGAAAATGGGTCAAGACCTCGTTACGTCACTTGTTTATAATGCTCATGCTTTTCTTACCTCGAGTAGTCCCTCGAGTATCTGCTTTGCACAAACGATCCTAGCTCAACAACAACGATTACAATAATACCAGCCAAGAAACAAACTTCTCGCTTCATGATTCCTGTTGAACAAAAAAAAAATGTTAAAGAAATATCGAAATGCAGAGTTGGGTATCTGTGTTGTCGAATATTAAAGGTACGTTCTTCATAAAGGTTAGGAAAAAAATTCATTTCACAGCAATAAATGGTAGAAAAGCGAAGATTTCTTACCGAGAGTCTCCATTTCCTATTCCAAGACTGGCGAAAGCTTTAAGAGAAATCCTATTTTGGTAATCCTATATTTTTCTTACCATTCAGGAATAAAACTAAGGACCAAAACAAGGAAACCACAAAACCGAGTCTGCAACAGTCGGGACCATTTATCGACTATATAAAATAAATAAATAAATAAATAAATGGGATTTATTAGTGGCATTTCCACTCTTCATCCGCTGTCATTCCAATTGGAATTTAGAAGTTGATTTTTGCGAAGGAAGGAAAACCGGAGAACCCGGAAAACCCTCGAAGTTTTGATACATTACTGTTAAATATACTTATTCAGAACTGTTTACGGATACGATTAAGACAACAAAGCCTTGAACGATTCATCACAGAAATATCTCGTTGCAATTAACACCGTGTGCGACCGCAAAGCTGTTTTGGTTCACTGGGAGGATTAGTACAAATGTTTATTAATTGAAGAAATTGCCTGGCGATATATAAATAAATAAGTCTTCTTCAAATTTTTAAATTCTAGGTGGTATTTAAGTAATAGGAATGGGTTATTTTGTATATTTTATTCAGTTTAGAGAGTGAAAAAATAAGACATGGCAGCCATGTTGAATGACTTCACCATTCCAAAGTTAATTTTCGGATATTCCAAACTTGACAAACATCAGTACAAAATCATTGCGTAAATCAACAGATATTCGTTTAAAGTAACAGTACAAGTCAGATCAACTCGTGGCCACTTCTTGGTGTAATTACTTAAAGTGCAAATGAACCCTTCGACAATACTTTCA